AGGTACGGTCCGGCATATTAGATAGTACCAGGGTACGTTCCACGTTCCGGCAGTACCCCAGGGGACATAGACCCTCTCAGCCTCAGCAATTGTCCACCCGCACATTGCCAGACAAAAACATTTGTTCAGGAAAATGTTCGGCAATGTGCGCCAGGCTTAATCAGCCGGCCCAAGGATAGAGAACACGGGTCCCAATAAAACCAATGTGCTTGGCTAACACCCTGACCTTAACCCTAACCCTAACTCTAACCCTAACCCTGACCTTAACCCTAACCACAAATATAATAAATATAATCAATAATATTGATGTAAATGACATTGGTTTTATTGGGACCCATGTTCTCTATCCTTGAACCAATCAGTCTAATGAGTAATGGAGTAATGATATTGATAACTCTTTACAGTCCAAGGGACGATCCAATCCTAACACCTCAGATTAGCTTAGCACATTTCAGAAAATGATGGCCTGTGTCCCAATCTAGAAGTAGGATTGTGCACAGCGACTATACAACATAATATATAGAATGATGATGAATGTAATGACGCGTTGCAAATTTGCGTTGGCAAAGCAATGATAATGCAATGGCCAATGCCAATGGCAATGGCGATAAAATGACCGGTCCAATATTGTGTCAACTTAGAATATGCCAACTTACTTTTCCACGTAAAAGCATCAAATGTAGATTGTATCTTTTTACACGTAAGTAATACGAGTAGGCCTAGGATATTCATAAAGCATCCTAGAATTATTTAGATGACGACAATGATGACAATACAATAAAGAAGTCTTGCAGTATGTCAACAGAAACGAAAGAGCATCTATTTGTGGTGACGTCATTTATCATGGATTCCTACTCAATCCGCTTGATTCATGTGCTTTATTCACATTATTATGAGGCCTAACCAGTGTAAACTAAAGCACATTTGACGTTTAGATGTTAATCTACTGCATCGTGCATTAAACTATATCATGCATAGGACATGAACTCAAACTGGAATAACAAAAGAGTAGTTGGGAGAATATCATTCTTGGTGGGACACTTAGTTAGTATTTACTGGTGCTCATACTCATATAGTCATACTATTACTAGTCATAGGGTCTATATCCCCCAGGTTACTGCCGGAACGTACCCTGG